TCATAAGTCATTGTTCATTGTTCATAACGTGTGAAGAGCCACGATTGGCCAGGAATGCACCGGGCATGGCCATACTCAGCCAGACCTGCCATGTTACATGGTCGTGGAAAAATCAAACTTTGAGTACCCCCAAAATTCGGCATCATATTACAAAGGCTGGTTGACCAGCGAACTTAGGAACGCTTCTACAGTCGAGTAGCCAGCTTCAATCGACGGACCAGCGACCCATCAAAATTACGGTCTTTATTTCCTAAGCCTACTTTTTAGCACAAGTCAACAACTACCTTCCTATCAAACTGGGAGGCCTTAGATTCAGGCATCAAACCCACTAGAGCTCCCAATAATTATGAAACATGACTGAATTGCGACATAAACGGAGTCAAGGCCGCTATACCTGGTATATCACTCAGCGGTTGAGGGATATGGAAATCAAGACGAGACAGTTTACCACTATCAGTTCAACCACTTCTATGAACTAACATACACATTAGCAACTTGCGTCACTGAATGACTTGGATACTGATCAAGGAATGAAGATTTGTATCGTCATCGCGGTTACTAGTTATTTGAAATATTCGTCTAGCACAGGTAACAATCTGGTATTTGCAGTAAGGATGGTGCCAAACGGGTTGTACATTTATATCCTCCTCGCTAGACACATTAATGTACGCATTCTCGAAATTTTTGTATCCAGTTTCTAGACCCCCCTACACCAGTTGCAAATCCCAAAAGGTACGCAAAAGTGCAAAATGTTTAATATTCCGTTTTGTGCACCTTTCTAAGAACTCTCTATTGACAGTAGTTATGATCTTCTAATAGCACTAATCATGTGGTCTTACAATCCAGCCACATCTTTTATGCTGAATACCACAGATGCTAGACTGTGTGACGTAACTATATTGCACCCTAAGACGCACTATCATACTCCTACAGGAAATACCTTAAACCTCATCGACCACTTGTACCTCTAGAACTTGTCTGAAGCGTTTTCATTATCATGTTTAATGTAAACCTTGTGAATAAAACAAAACTTTCTATCACCCTCTCAAGACCATGGGCGCTTGAGGGAAATCTAACCGACGCGACATGGCGAGCTCAGTCATGCGTATGTGGCTTACCGTTATCATGGATGCTACTGTTCTGCGAGAATAAAATGGAACACAAATTATAACCAGCGAAAACTTTTGCGCGAATATGGTGTCACAAAACCGATGACTTTCATCGTGATTGAGCTGTCCACACGGTGTTTTACGAAATGCCTAGTCACAGATCGCTAAGATGAACTGCTAAAGAACAGTACAAATACAGAAACTACTATACGAGTCTTTGAAAGTATTGGAATGTGTGTGCTTAGATTATTTCGACTTAAGATTGAAAGGCTTAGCTGACGTATGGGTTCCGGGAGCATCCATATTTGACTAGTTACATCTTTCACTAGATACTAGCCAACGTCATCTTTTGTATTCCCACTTCCAAGTGAAAGAGACCACAACTGTAGACCTTTTTTGTCATATCCAAAATGATGGTCTGCGCACTAATTATTAACGACTAGCAATCGTCGATAAGAAACTATTACACCTATGAGGTAGCTGAGTGAGCCTTAGACTACCTTAGCTTCAAATGATCAGATCTCTCTTTTTGGAGGAATATTCCAAGAGTGTCACCTTAGTGTACAGAACATTTAGCCACCATTGTAACGCTGATTTAGATTCTATAAGACGGGAATGTATCTAGAACACTTAGTTAAAAGATGGGTTCCCTAACATTGTGCAGTCTCACCTGACACTTGCGTGTAGAGAAGAGCATGGAAACGCGAGGGCTGATCACGGTGTCAATGTTGAGTGAATCCTGTTGTTAATATCCCGGCTTCGAAGAAATTAACGTGTAAATCGAAGACTTTTGTCCCTGGTACACGATAAAACCTTTGCTAGATTGTCCAATCTTTGTCCAAGCTTTCTGTTAGTCAAGGTCGAAATGGAATAAACCTGTCGACTGCCCTGGTTGCTGGTCTTACTGGCGCATTGACCATGACCATCTGCCTTACAAGGCGTAGTCGGCGCCACAAAACAACTACTAACAATGCATTATTGAGTCGTCGAATTGTCAAAATGTTCGTATCATATCGAGAAAACCAGAAGGTTAGAAATCTCCTACTTCTAAATCTTGTTACAAAAATGAGGTTGCTTTAAGCAGTCACGGGTTGTTCGTAAACGTAGCGGATAGAGCGATTTTGACGCCAAAATTCCGGCAGTGTTAGTACGAGATACCACTGTAATGCAAGTTACCATGATCTGAATAGAAAAGTCGAAGCACTAAGAGCACAGAACTGCGTTTTCCTACCGGAACTGAAATACGGATGTGTCATTTGGTAATTTTGTGGGGGATAAACCGTAACTGCCCAATTTCTACGGTTAACCAACTACTTAGATATATTACACTTCCACAGTTAATGCAGCATACATCTGAAATGCAGAGCACGCAACTCACCGAATGTCCCACGGTTTGTTCCTCTTGGTATTATTGGGCATCAGCTTCGGGTAATCTTTAAAACAGAATTGCAGAGACATACACTCCTCATTAGCCTGTTGAGTAGTTCCACGGGAAGTTCTCAAGTGCGTCTGACTGTTCATCATTGGGATTTCAGGATGAACCGAAGTGGGAGGAAAACAGCGATTACTGTTGAAGTTCGATTGCTGATCCACATCCATCGCATTCTCCTTTTGGTGGGTGTTGTTTCCACTGCTGAAATTAGGAACCGAATCAGTAGTTCGGCTACCATGATAGCCATGCATATCACTACGGATCTGTGCTATGCAAATGACCTTACCCGCTCCGCGGACATCAGTCACCCACCTTGATAATACTCAGTGAACATTCTCACGCTGACGATCCGACCGAACACAATCAAAAATATAGCAACACATTTAAAATTCCATGCAACGCCGCTACATATACACATCTTCAAACATGCGTAGATTGATCTAACATACACGCAATTTTACTGATAAACTTGTAACGTTCCTGTACATTTACAAATCTTTTGTGCAGTTGTACCATAAATATGCCAACGAAAGCATGCCTCACGTTGTCGAAAATATACCATTTATATATTTATTTATCTATAACCACTAGGATGACCGCTTTTATTATCACAAACGATAGCAAATTATCCGAATTTAATGTGTGCTATCACTTAAGACTGATCCAAGACTGCCGAAGAGAAATAGCGAATTCCCCTTTACTTACTCAGTCCATCAAAGTGATGTGACTGGTCATCTAGTAGCTGCGTGTAATATGCCACACAGGACTTATTGATATCCTGTGATTCTTCTAGGCCTATTGAGTAAGCGTCTCAAACTACATGACACACTGCTGAAACACTTGTCTCGCGTCAGTTCATTTGCAAATCGAACTTTTGCCTAAACCGTTATATCTATCCGCGCTACTTTCTGCTCAAAATTTTCTTCGAAAATACCCGCCAATATCAGTCACCATCGGTATGGCACACTGTGTAACTTCATATCTACTTCACCAACCAGACCGGATGCTTTATCAGCAGTCGCTATGAAAGAATGTGCAGTCGTTTAAACGACACCTGTGACGGAGATCTTATACCCGTGTTTAACGCCTGGTACCATCCCAGATATGTGGATTCGAGCCAGAGTAACACCAGTGTCTAAAAGTGGATCGCGGAAATGTCGGCCAATTACGTGCACGTCTGTGCTGATAAAGTTGCCGGAACATCTGATACTTCTCCGAATTTCCACAGGTATTCATACTAAGGATTTCAAACAGTTTGCTTAGAAACTAGGGCGCTCTACGTTGGATGCCGTTTCTTATCTGGTGCAATCCGTTACCTTAGCATTGGATAATAGATGCAAGAGCGTACGGCTCCTATTTCTCGACCACACTAACGCCTTTGGGAGCCCAGACAGACCATTACTGTTTAACATTTTGTCTGCAAATGGCATCTTCCATGTGTGTGTAGTGTGATGCGTGATTAGTTTACAAATCCACCCATCTCAAAAAGTCTTCTGTACTCCAGCTAATTTTGGTGTTTTGCAGGGAGCCATCCTATCCCTTTTCTTTTCCTGACCCACGTTGAAAGTCTTGCCATTCCGTCAAAATTCATAGGCTGTAAATTTTCTGATGACCTCGTTCTGGGTTGCGTAACACCAATCGTAGAGGACTCTTTTAAACTGCAGATTTAGACATACTAGTGAGTTTGCCGACATCCAGGTCCCCTCTCTCTCAACCCATCCAAATGTTGGTTACTTACATAATGTTTTTTACGTCCCAACAAACGGTGTTCCCTTGTTCATATTTCTCCTGCCGTAATTGTGGATGACCAAAGCATACCTGGCACATCTACCGTAAAATATCTTTGAGTTTTTCCTATCTCTCAATTTATCTTGGTCCATACATATTCTTGAGACATGCAAAATTGTTAGAAGGCTCTCCTTTTACGCGCTTAGGCTCAATGTGTTTGCAGTTCCCTGTGCTGTATTTCTAATGGTTGTAACTGTAAATAACCTCCTTCTTTGGCTATACTGTTTCCCTGTGCTTTTCTCTGGAAAGCTACAAAAATTATGTCTTTCTTCTCCGTGCACCAAAATTTATTCCTCGCTGCTTTAGGTTAAGAAAAGAACCGCTCATTGATTTTATTGTTAACACGCATTTCGATGCGTGCAGCAACTTTCATTGAAGATTTTAAGTGACTTCTCTCAACCTTACATGCTATCCTAACCGGCAGTATATTTACTTCTGCCACACTAACAAACGTAAAATTTATGTATTCTCGTACCACGTCGTATCGAAACTATCCTTCTATTTCTAACTCGCTTACTAATCGACCCATCTGGAATGAAAAATTGCTTTCGTGACCGTATGTCTGATTGAATTTGCAACATTTCTGTTATTGCTGTCAATTGTTATTTCTCACTGGCTCTTTTTTGCATTATGTTCCGCAGAGTCAGTGATAAGTGATGGAAATGCACTCATATGGGTGGACAAACCTTATGATGACTTGACTTGTATAGCATAATATATACCTGCACGCGAGGCCACGGCCAACTGGTCATTCCCTATCTAACAAAGCTTTTGCTGGATCCAAACGCCACCATCTATGTACTAATCAGTGACTCTTACCAGTGATGCTGTATCATTCATGGAATAATTCTTTGGCTATTGCTATTTCATTACTACTTTTTATCACCGTAATTACATGTGCTTTACGGCTGAAAATTCATGCTTCCTGTGTACATGGAAGCCCATTTTTACTTCTACTCGCTTCGGCGGTACATATAGTAAAATTGCTATGATACAAAGAAAATTAGCATGGCCCCGGCGCAAGGATGACACGTCAAATCATGAAGCGTTCCATATTTTTTCAAAGAAAATACCTTCAACAAAGTGGGTTCTCAGATGCGCCGTTCTGCAAACGATAAGAGGACGACTAGCATTCCAATAGGTTAACGTCACCTACGTTGCCAAGATAATTGCTGTAAAATCCTTAAGATCGGAATAGCCTGTTCTAACTGCATCAGATCGTACTGTCTGCAATGTGTAGGCAAATCCGTGCAAGAATTGAGTCAGCCAAACAAAGTTGCTGACACACTTTGGTTTGTCCAGCTTGTCAGGTCATTCCAGTTCTCAAAAGTTTATCTTTGCTCACGAAAAGTGCGATAGCTTGACTTAGATAATCGCGCATTTTGTAAATTCTAAGATCGACCCCACGGAGGTAAATATGTCCACGATAATACCTCACCCAGCCGAAGTAAGCTCCGAATCTATTCCGAAGAAGAGAGCTGGACGCTCCAACCGCACTGCAGCGTCTGTGTCTCTAAATCCACTGGGTCACCTCACTCCCATAAGTGGAGAAGCCTCAAACCAACCTGCTTCCACTTCTCCAACCATAGACGCTTCATCTGGAGATTCAGCCATGACACCGACAGCTCAGAGCCGAAGGCAATCCGGTGCAGATAACAAGCAGGTAACGTACGCATCGATTGCCTCGACAAACACACCGGGAGCGACACACGTAGGTCCATCTTCTGTACCGAGCACACGTGGACCAACGCAGCTTTCACCGCCAAATCCAGTGGTGCCTTCTAAACAGATCGAATTGCCAGCAAAAGCTATAAAGCCGACATTCGCTAGACAAAACCACGCGGCGTTAACTCTCGTGTGCACCAATGTTCCCGAGTCCAAATCTGGCACAATAAAAGGCAAGTTGCAAGACGATCGCAACCAGTGGAGTTCCATCTGCGGTGCGATTGGTATTCGGGTTGAGTCTGCATTGCTGCAACGCGTAGCGCGTCACCCGACCTCAGTGCACTCTGGTGAACCTCGAATTCTTCGAGTAACACTAGACTCAGCAGATGAGACAGAGGCTGTCCTGCTCTCAGCAGTTCGTCTTCACAACTCACCGAGCGGAGTGCGCATATTACCTGATCTACCTTGGAAAGATCGCCCAAAAGAAGCAGTTGACCAACGCGGCATTCCTAATAGGGATAGCAAGAAAACAATATTTGTTCATGGTGTTCCCGAGCTTCTGCATTCTTCTGATCACGATGCGCAAACACATGACCGAGAGCAGTGGTGCTACATCCGCGAAGCACTCTCTGTTGACAATGTTATTGCCAAATCCCTAATACGATTTCCGTCATCACCCAACTACAAGGGCTGCGGTCCAAGACTAATGAAAGTAATATTACACTCCGAGGGAATGACGCAAGTTCTGTTGGATAACTGGTTAAAGTTCCGAGCTAGGTTGCCAACAGAGATCCGGCTAAAGGCAGCAGGCGAACGGCCAAGAGTCGTAAGCAATTCGATGGAATTAGCAAACGCTACAAATTCTTTATCTGCACAGTCCTACGGAGAGACCGACACAACAGCACCCACGGCACACAACAGGACAGAGCACAGCAAGGGTGAAACGTCTGTTCAGGAACGCTCAATAATGCCATGCAACCTGACTGAAATACATAAACCAAAAGATGATTAATAGCCCGCCACCTAACGGCCGGCTTAAAAACAAACACAACGTTGACATCCGTCAACGCACTCCTAACAACAAAAGCCTTAACTTGCATGTACACAAACGCCCAAGACCTTCTAAGCAAGTTGGCCGAACTTAGAGAACTCCATGTCTCACAACCGCGGGACTTTGTCATGATTACAGAGACATGGTTAAACCTTGAGATAACCGAGTCTGAGATCAATTTACCCGGTATGTCGCTGCTTCGGACCGATAGAACCGGAAGGGGGGCGGTGTGATTCTTTATTATAATACAAACCTCCGATGTGAAGTTATCGATCACCCAGAAATCCGAGCTCCTGTTTCGCTTTGGTTACGAAACAAGGACACATGTCTACTAGCCGTGATTTATCGCCCACCAAACTCAACGTCGGAAATGGACTCCAAACTGAACCACGTCTTCCAGTTTGCTTTGAACAAGTCCTACACCCACATTCTTATCGCTGGAGACTTTAACGTGCACGACATAGAAACGCCAGCAACCGATGTTGCGCAGTTTAAAGCCTGCTTGCAAGAGCTAATTGCTAGCCACCCTCTGTACAACCACGTAACCTCTCCCACCAGATTTCGAACTGCTAACAAGCCGTCGATACTAGATCTTGTGCTCCCTAACAAAGAACTCATGATTGAAGGGATAGTTACAAGCACACCACTGGGTCGTAGTGATCATGTTACTCTACTCTTTGACTATATATGCTATGCGGAGTATCCTGAAAAGGAGGATGATAAAGTGCATACTGTCACGTCCTACAATGTGTTATCTGAACTTGTTAAGGATACATCTTGGAATTTTTTAACCGAATTCCCCCCAGATGTTGCCTGGGAAACCTTTACAAGAACGCTTAGCACACTGATTGCGCACGCATCGGAACAGAAGTCCTTCCAACCCAAAAACAAGCATAAGTCATTTCTGAGGAGCAGAACACGTAAATGGATGTCCCGGAGGGATTTGGCCTGGTGAGATCACCAGCACTGCTCGAATGCTGAAACCTGGACTGCATACGTGACACATCGTAACTTCTGTGTGAAACTGATCCGCGAAGACAAGGTCACGCATCAGCAGGAGTTAATGAAGCGATTCTGCACAAACCGCAAACTTCAGTACAAGCACGTTCACGGCCTACGAAAGGTGAAGCGGGGGGTTCCAGTACTCGTCACGGCTGATGGGTGCATGCGATCAGCAATGGATGCAGCTGATCTCCTACGGCTTCATTACTCCCAAGCTTTCCAGCAGGTAACGAGCCCAAATATTCTCCTCGTTACTATTACTCCACCGTCGGGTTTAGACAACATCACCTTCACTGCAGCAGCTCTGTTGAAGAAGTTATTATTCTTGTGCATCCACAGTTCTCCTGGAGTCGACAACATACGACCAAAGGTTCTACAGGCGGTAGCTAGTGATCTAGCAGAACCACTGGCTGTTTTCTATCAGCGATCTCTAGAAGAGAACCGTATTCCACCAGTATGGAAGCGACGGGTCATCACTCCTATATATAAAGGAGGTAGCCGCACTGACCCTACCAACTACCATCCAATAACACTACTTCCTGTACTATCCAAAGTGATGGAATCAATCATCGCAGGTGCGCTGATGCAGTACCTGGAAAGCGACAACTTAATAGCTCCAGAGCAACATGGCTTTCGTCAAAAGCATTCGTATAATACTAACCTATTAATTTCACGTAATAGCTGGACTGTAGCCGTTGATGATGGAGTAGGAGTCCGTATCATCTACCTGGACTTTTCAAAAGCGCTTGATCGCTTAGACCATCGAGTTCTTCAGAAGATTCGGAACTACGGCATTGGCAACCCAATCCTGAGCTGGATTAGCAATTTTCTACACGAACGACGACTAGCGGTAAGAGTCCGAGAATCATTGTCTGATGCAATCGATGTGCCGTGTGGAGTACCACAAAGCTCGATGCTTGGACCTCGTCTATTCTTGGTGTTCATTAACGATTTGGCGAGATCAATTGCTTCCGATTTCCTATTTTTCGCTGATGATATCAAGATATAGTGAAGAATCAGAGGACCGAACGACCGCGAACGGCTCCAGTGCGATCTTAACACAGTGTCTAACTGGTCAGTTCAAAACGCCCTACCATTCAACGTAGACAAATGTCGCGTTGTACAATTACGCCATAGACATAACTACACCTATTTGCTTGGGACAAACGGATTGCAGACCAGCTCCGAGGAACGTGACCTTGGTGTGCTCGTACAGAGCGACCTCAACTGTTCAAAACTGGCTGAGGTAGCTGTGAAAAGAGGCAACCAGCACGTCGGCATGCTGCGAAGGGCATTCGGGAGATTTGACCTATCAATCTTTCCAATGATGCACAATTCCTACGTGCGCCCGCATGTTGAATACGCTATCCAAGCTTGGCAACCTTGGTTGAAGCGCGACCTAGAGGCGTTAGAGGCACCACAACGGAGAGTAACAAAGAATGTAAAGGGCCTGAGCTATCACTCTTACCACCGAAGGCTGAAATTGCTGGGAATTTTCAGCGGACGCTATCGAAGGCTGCGCGGTGATCTCATATAAGCGTATCAGATACTGAGTGACCCCAACCACATATGCTGCCATTTGCTGAAACAACACGCAGCTCAGGGGTAACTGCTTAAAATTGAAGGAACAATATAGCCGTCCAGAGTGTCGACTAAATTACTTTTCTCTTCGGGTTTGCCAACCCTGGAACGCACACCCAGACTCAGTTGTATCCTCTGCTACCTTGGACGTATTCAAAAGACAATTAGATGTTGCTCTTAGCTCCCAACATTTTGTTACCTAAACTCCTCTATTAAGGATTACGCCAAGCATGCTTTCCAACAGGATTTATGTATCAAATGGACCCAATTGAGCGACCATATTTTACTTTTCTGACGCCTTATATCAATGACCACTGCACCCCAGTGTATTTCTGAAAGTATAGCGCTCGATTTTTACTTTTACACTGATGTCATTTATCAAAGTATTTATCTCGAGAGACGTTCGGTAAATGACTCACATATATTTTGATTTCATCTTATTCACCCCAACCATCCTACGGGACGTGTCAAGCACTTGCTTTTATCCCGTGATAAACCATTGTTCATTGTTCACTTGAAAATGTCTGCCTGTATGTTTTATCAAACCTCAGTTACATATGCAGAGATCGTTGCGAAGCTCAGCCGGGCGACTGACGTCGCGGCCTCTTCTATCCTAAACACCGCTAACGCGATTAGAGGGACAACGTGTAAAGAATCAACACTTGTCAGCATGTCAGGACAAAGGACTACCCAACCTTGATCAACGAAAAAATGATCCAACAATAGTGCCAGGGCTGTTGTATGGTCAAATGTCCCCGAATATACCACTATCACATTGCGGGGTAAGTTATCAGACGACCAAGACCAATGGAACTCCTTGTGCGTGCTGATGAGTGTCAAAACCAAACCCATAAACCTATTACGAATTGTACATCATCCGAACTCGCCCCACTATGGAGAACCCAGACTTATCCGAGTAAAACTAGAATCCTCCACCGACGTAGAAAACTTTCTGCTCTCCGCAAGCGCGCAAAGACACGGATCCTGTTGGATACGTATCTATCCAAACGTTCCTTGGATCGCACGACAATTAAAAAGAAACACCGAAGAGGGACACAGCAAAAAAGACCGTCTAAACAAAATCTTCAAACATGACCTGCCAGTACATCTTCCTAATAATGTTCAAGAAGTCGGAAAGCAGAATTTGCAACATTGGCGGTTCATTCGTGAAACAATTTCCTTGGATAATATAATGGAGCTATCGCTCACCAGGATACCCTCCTCAAATTATAGAGGATGCGGCCCTAGAATCCTAAAACTTGTGGTTCA